GTTTGCAGCCGCAAATTGTCAGCGGCGAGCGCTTGAGCATGCTCCAAGACAACGGATTTTTCAGCCAATCAGCGGTTTTTCCGCCGTGCCATACATGACGCATACGGTCTTAGGTACCAAGCTCCTTACCGCGCACACGTGTGTTAAAATGGCGAAGAGTATTCGGTCGAAAAGGAAACGAAAACTTCGGGCTGAAAGGAGAGAAAAATTAAAGCCAAAGGTGAAGGCGAAATTGGAGGAGATACTTGGAATAAGCGACAAGGAAATGATTGTGGAGACAGAGGGTCTCGAGTTAGATAAAAACGAAGAAAAAGCACAAGAAGAAATACACAAAAACCAAGAAGACAAAACGGTCGACGCAGATGCTATGGGTAAGAGATTGTTTAATGTCGTGAAGGAGATAGTAACAGTAACTCCATGTGAAGTATGGGTTCAAGGGGAGTCCAGCAAACCCTCCCCTCCACATCACCCTCCCCTCTGACTATAGGCCGTCTTTCTGCCTTCTGCGGAAGACCTCTGTCTATAGGTGTCTGGTCTGTACTAGTTCATGGTGTGTTTGGGTCTCCAAGACTCAACTGAACCTCAGTTTTGTCTCATAATTGCTAAGCAACTTTTTTTTACGATAACTGCAGAAATTCTTGCGCACTCATTGGCTAATTTTTTTTGTCAATAAGCAGACAGACACATGAATTTATAATTTATGCGATGCATCAACGAGCAAGAGCGGACAATTTGACAATTTGTTATCGTAAAAAACAAATTGATGTCAGTTTTTAATGCGTCTGTCCTGTTATTGACAATGAATTTCATCATAACATTGTCAAAGTAGTCTACGGATCCACGTGGCTATCACCTTGTGGATCCACAGCTACTTTCACAATGTTTTGACGAAATTCATGATCAATAACAGGACAGATGCATGAAAAACTGACGTCAATTTGTCAAATTGCACCATAAGAGCAGTTGTTTTGGAGTCTTCTCAGGTGCATGCTCTATTTCTTAAATATCGTAGAGTTCCAATAGTAGCGACCCTTGTTACTTTCAGAATTAGCAGCCTCTGGGGGTCGCTACTTTCGGGGGTCGTTACTTTCCGGGCTCGTTACTTTCGGGGAACAAAAATCATTTACAAATAGAGTAGTAGCAGGGACAGTGAAATAAATATCGATGGTTTACAGGACTACCGCATGGGTAAATCAGCGGATATAGAGGAGATTGAGTTCTTCACTGACACAGAGGGAGAAAGCTAAACTGCTTTGATTGTACTGCATGACGCACGGCTGTGTGTTAGTGTGTACCCCGTACCAGTATCTCAGTGTCATTTAATTGGAAGAAACATGTCCTTGTTAATCGACAAAAACTATATAGAGTTTTCAATTTCAAATTGAAGCAACACTCCTGTTGTTAATACGAAATAGACCATTTTACAGTTGTCTGCTGAGTGACCTGGCCTTTGGATGGCAGCGAGGCTGGAGTTGACCTTGTTTTGATACAGACCTCACTGCTTTTGTCATGTAAATGCACCTAGTTAGCATCANGAACAACTTGTTTTACACAACAAAAGCAGTGAGGTCTGTATCAAAACAAGGTCAACTCCAGCCTCGCTGCCATCCAAAGGTCAGGTCACTGAGTAGACAACTGTAAAATGGTCTATTATACTGGTTTAGTTCTTACATCGCTACATCAGTGAACAGATGTCAAGGATGAATGGTGGCATAAAGCTTCCCCTTGTTGTAAATTAAAGTGCTTTATCGTGAACAATTTGTGACACTGCACAAACATATTATTGTACATTAAAATTTTGACTACTGATAGACAAATTAGGTATACGGTATACAATTTAAAAAACTTGGTCTCGCTACTTTCGGGATTTATTAGCGGCCACAAAAAATTGACGTTAATTTCGGGGGGTCGCTACTTTCGGGGGGGGGGTAGTTACTATCAGAACTTTACGGTATTAGAAAGTCATTACAAGTGCTTCAAGGATGATTTTCCATGACACTTTTTCTTCAACTGTGCAAGGTTGTTGTAGACATTTCTAATTTTAACTTCCCTGGTGTTTCTACATCAACAGAAGGCACAGAGGATGTTGTAATGAAATCTGAAGATGGAACACAGAAGAAGCCTGGAAAAAAGGCTCTCAAGAGAATAAATAAGAAAAAGAATTTGAAGAGGCTCATGAAGAAGAAAAGAAAAAATCAAAAGATATTTAAGTGGTGATTTTAGTAGAACCTGTGTATGGCATACTATTTATTGCCAGGCATTGTTTGTGCTAACTGAATTTCCCATGGAAAATACTGGAATTCTGTTCCATTACTTTGTGGTAAATTTCCTTCCCAGAGATGCTATGTTAAGCTTTTGAGTGATCCTGTTATCCAGGGCAAAGATAAGTTTATAGATTATAACATTACTTTTAACTTCTTCATGGATCACTTGTATCATAGCAAAGTGACTGCTAAACACATTATAGTGGCATTTATTTAATCTACGCTCATAAAAGTTAAAACAGTATCTTTTGCTTAGAGTGACAGTTCAAACACAATGAAATGTTATGGGACATGGTAAGGAAGATGCTGTTGACACCATGTTGAATAATAAGGTCATTATCCTTTAGTGTACATTTTATTCTGATATGTAAAGGCAATAATGTTATATCCTGGTTGATTACATGTTGTTTAATGGTCATTGCCATATCAATGTTGAAAATAGACAAAAGTGAAGTTGTTGACTATTGGAAAACAGCTTTCAAACTATGAGCTGCAAGTGACCAAAGTATTAAATTAGTGCAGAATTTCTTCTGTTGATTATAGCCTTCTTCACTTTAGTTCTTGGAGTGTGTTGATCATCATAAACCTGGAAAATAGGATGTACAGCCTCCTAAACCACAGCAATTGACTTCTGTGAGCATACATGGCCTTCTGTTGACACAATGTCCAACATTCATAAGTCAGTATATATATTAAACAAATTATTTGACATTTACTTTGGACGATTCAATGTACCTGTGCTAAAATAATATCCTGTGGGCTTGAGAGAAACATCTGCCTAATTAGTGGGGAGAGAGAGGAATTGACCTCAAAATTAGTTTTCTACATAAACAATGATCACTTATTCTCTTGCTTGAGCAATTTTTATTGATCTTATAGGACTATAAAACAATAATGATGTCATAAAACTTTTGCCAGGGTTCTGATAAACAGGATCTCATTGATTGCGATTTGCTAGGTTGCTAAAATGTGCCTTCTTTTTGGTGTAAGACCTCCCAATTTACATTAATATCGGTCAGCATTTTGTTATTGACTACATGAAATTCACGGGAAAAGCTGTGAAAAAATGTAAGAACCACTCGCATCATCATCAGAATTTCATTTTCCTTCCTGCATGGGAAAGAGGGCTAGAAAAGGAGATGTCTGCACAGAAGCCAGGAATTACATACATTCCTTTCTGAGTAGTACTTACTGAGAGTAGACACTGAATGGGAGATCCAAAAGTGAAATGTATTTCCTCAATATGCTAATGCTGCTGAGAACATAAACTGTAACATCTTCAAGGAGTCCATTATCTTTCAATCTCTTCACTGCTTTGTAGATGGCAATATGGTTTGAATGACCTGACACCCCATAAGAGTCAAAAGTTATGACCTGTAGAATGAAAGTCAAAACCAGTCATAGAGTAAAGTTAAGAAAACAGTGAGAAACCGTACTACTTCTCATGGGCTTTGTTGGCAAGAACACTTTCAGAGTAAAGAATGGAAAGATTGGGGAGAGGAAATTGTTTCCCTTAGAACCCTCTGAAGAGAGATGACTTGTTTACTACACCCAAAAATGTATAATGTGATGTACTTTTTCAACAGAACAGTTTTTGAATCAAAATACTTTGACCAATTGCAGTGATTTCAGTGTAAGGCTGCGTCCCTTCCACCTACCCCCTCACCCACTTTCCTGTACATACCACTTCATCTTACCACTTGAAATTGATTGTGCTTGATGTGATCAGCAATTATCTGGCTGGCAATCTTGGTATCCCAGTCAACATTGGGGTCATCAGGAAGAGAACTGGAACCCAACATAGAATAACATTTCTTTTAGAAAATGGTGAAAGCAAAGCAAAATATTATTATTTACAGACAGATCAGCAAACTTTCACTGACAAAGAGTGCTTGTAAAACCACTTCCTGTATACACCTATAAGAATGCACAAATAGATATAACTCAACAGAAACATGGGAAATGTAACTCCTCAAACAACATACAAATCGAACTTCCATGCATTAACTCACTGATGATCTTTTACAGTCACATGACTGGATGGAATTCCCAGAATCCTGCAGCTTGAAAACAATTCCTGCTTTCGTATATTTCCTTGTTGGTAATAATTACCTACAAGTAAATAAAAATGACATAGATATGCACAATATACACAAAATCTGGCTCACTTGTTGAGCTTTGACCAAGGTCCCTGGGAGATAAATGGAATGGAAAAAAATCTAGATACCCTGGGTTGTGTGGTGGGGGAGAGATGTGTGGTGTTACACGTGAATGATATGGTCACACAAGAAAACCCAAGAAGATAAACCTCAGTTTTAACTCTAATAATTATATGCAGGCACACCTGTAGAGAGACACAGTACATGTGCTGTGCAGAACCGTGGCAAATTCAAAATGGAGGGCGAGAAAAACATGCACTCGTCATCTGGATGAGCAGTGATGACAAGGACTGTTTTGTTATTAAATTCATATTTCTTGACTTTTTGGAGTCTTAACTGTCTATAGTAAAAAAGTATTAGAAGACTTGACAAAATGACAACAAATAAAGGGAAAAACAAAATCCAACACAAATCACGAGGAAACATCGGTGTGCGTGGTTACTAAGTAAAAATTGCGTGGATGCTAAGGGACAAGTTCTTCTTTTGATGTAGCCAAAGCAATTATGTGTTGTGTTTTCAGTTTTCTTTGCCTCTTCTGATGCTTATAAAGCCGATTTCTACACGATGGAGAATGTAGTTCCTTCTACCACAGAAGACAATTGCGTGGAGCATCGCGAAAGAACGAGCGGAGAAAACAGTGAGGTGGTAAAGAGCGGGAGCCCTGCTAACGTCGTCATCGATCACAGTAATAACGTCATTGTAGAGCGCTTGAACTGCGACACAAATATCGAAATCAAGAAAGAGAACTGTCATGAATTTCCAGCGGATGAAGATGAATCGCTTGGAGATGGAGAGCCCCAGGTGGACGAGACTAATCACAGAGAATACCAGAGTCGGAAAAACATCTCCACACTCACATCAAAACACTATGCTGGTCACGTCAGGGTTTTCAAAGGTATCGTAATTAGCGTTTGTGGTTATTTCAAAACAAAACAAAAAACAAAAAAACGGCGAAAGAAAGATCAAATCACTGATCGTCAATGAACTAAAGTCTAAGATTTAAAGCTTATGTTTGATTAATGAAATACTTACAGTATGCACTTGGCGTACTAGAAATTAGAGTATCAAAAAGTGAATGTTGCACACAGCTTATTTTATTCACCATCATTTTTCATCAGAAGAAAAGTCAAATAATAATAAACCCAATGACCATCTTCTGGGCTAGATTGTAGAACACCGGGCCACTCATTTACATCTCACTGAATTTAAATGTTCCTTTTGTTTCTATATGCTTTGTTCTGAGACGCATTGAGGGATATGTTAATAGGTGGCCTGGTTTTGTAAAATCACTCTGGCTTCTGTAAACTGTAAAAGACCTTGACTTGTACTGTGCTGTAGGAAAGTGTTTAGACAGAACTACTGGGCTGGGTTGTTCGGAAGTCGCTAAACGCTTACCCAGGATTGAAAGTTATCTGAAGTATAAAATTTTCTTGTATGACAATGTTTTTAATTGCTTATGTTTTGCAGTAGTTTGAGATTATTCAAACTCACAGCAAAAGACCAAACAATATAAATAGAAAACCTCATCGCAAAGTCACAAAACTGAAAATTATCAAAATTCTCACTAATCCTGGGTTAGCTTAATCAGGTGTATAGCAAATGTGTTGGTAAAAAGCTTTTAACAGAAAAATCTATGGCTTATCCCTCTTTTTTTTCTTTCATCTTAGAGTGGTTAAAGTGCAAAAATATGGCAGAGGAATTTGAGCAGTGGGCGCCTAGGGAGATAAGCAATTGGTTGTCTGAGTTTTATAAGGAATCACACTTAAAACATGGTGGTACAAAGAGGGCCAGCTCCCTTAGAATCATACGCTCAGCTATTGATCATCACCTAAAGAGTGCACCTTACTGCAAGTGCTACAGCCTTACCCACTCTCCTGAATTCAGCAAGGCTAATGCTACATTGCATGACTTGGAGGCTGCACAGAAAGAATACTTGGATTCTTCAGATTTCAATACCAGTGCTTTGCCCTTAAATGTTGATGAAGTACGTAAACTGTGGGCCACTGGAGTGGTGGGAATCAAGACTCCAAAATCTTTGCAGAGATTGGTGTTTTTGAGTGTGGGAATCAATTTTGGCGTTACTTCTAGAGATGACTTGCGTGATTTAAAACCTGACATGTTTGAGTTTTGCATTGATGAGAAAACAGGCCTGGAGTATGCCTCATGTAAACTTGGCGAGTCAACACCAAGTCAGCTGAGGAATAAAAAGTATAAATGTACAGGGAAAAAGATGTTTAGTGTACCAGGAAGTCTGCAGTGCCCTGTTGCAGCATTGAAATTATTCCTTAAAAGAAGAAATCCTGCTTGTTCTGCATTTTTTCAGATACCAAATCGAGATTTTGCAACAAGTGGAGTGTGGTACAGGTCACAAGCTGCTGGGCTCAACTGTCTGTCTGGCATGTTGAAAGACATGTCACATGAGGCCCTTCTACCAATGGATTATTCCAATCACAATTTGCGAGCCACACCTCCTATTGTGTTATACAAGGCAATGGAGGATATACCACCTCTGCAACCTACAAGAATAACAAACAGTGCAATTCTTAATGACAAGATTGCATTGAACAGCCCAGCACCTCCACTATTGAACTCTGTGACAAATGTATCAAGTATTTCAGCTGTAAATATTGACACAAATCGTACAGTCGTTCCGGTGGTAGAATCAAACACTATTCAGGCACCCCTTAGAGATGTAAGCACCATTACCCATCTCATCAAACCTACTGAACACATTCCTCATTCAAGTTATGTTTCTCAGAACTTGCATCAGGTGTTCTGTATTCCTCAGCAGTGGAACATTCAAGATATTATCAGAGCTGTAAACTCAGGAGATGCACTTGTGATTACAAAACAGTCAAGAAACACAGAGACTAAGCCCCAAGAGAATGGTGATGTTGTACAATGCAGCGACTTTCAACAACAGCAGACCAGTGAAGTGCTCCATAATGCTGGACGTGACAGATCTGGTCGTAAGCAGGTATTTGCCTGTAATTTTTGATTTACAGTAAACTGAACCCAAAGTCATGAGATGACAACTTCAGGAAAGAAGTTGTGTGGTTTGATTAGTTTATAATCAGGGTTTTCAAATTGAAATAAAAGAGGAAATTGTGAAGTAGGCAGAGCACTACTTGCTTGTGATCAAGGTGGCCAGGTGTGGAAGAGTGCTAGAGTTGGTTACCTTCTCCTGCTTGGGGCTGAGGGTGGGTTGCTGATCCTGAAAAATTTTGAAAATCTATGTGCATTCAGGTGCATTTTGGTGTATTTCTAGCACACACAAGTGATTTTGTAGGTCCTGGAGGCAACTGTATAAAAGATGGCATAGTCTGATATTTTTAACCTGTTCATTTATTTCAACAGAATATCAAATCTTGATTACGATGGTGAAACAAACCTGCATATTGATAAAATTTGTGACAAAAAGTACCGGGCACAAATGCTTGAAGTAACTGGTGACTTGCGTTGGACATTGGCTTAATTTGAAAACCCTGTATAATACTTGTTATAAATGGATTCCCTTTCTGTACATTTATCTGTGTACAATGGTGGTATGTCTTAGCAATGAAAACACTGGATAATTGTCTTGCTAAAATGTCAAGGAAAAGTCCCAGTATACAAATTCTTCTTGCAGTACTCAAAAACAGCAGGCAGAATCTATTTTGCTATCTGATAGTTGTCCTTTTTCTGATCACTTCCATAGTTTTTGTAGACTGAGTCACTGATTGAATGTGCTATGCATTTGAATTATGATTTTTTTCTCTAACTGCTTCTCAGTCCATAGCCTGAAATGTCAGTCATCTTCCCCTCAGCACTACCCCTGGGTGAGAATGCTGTCTGCCTGAGGACAGGACTTGACTGACATTTCAGGTTACTCAGTCCATACTTGTCTAATGTAAAAATGTACAAACAATATAATGCATGATATTGTTTTATTTTTCATTTGCTATTTTGTGGCATTATTGTATGAGATTCCCACTACATTATTTGATAGCAAACTTCATTTCATGTTTTAAGCCTGAGCCCAAACGATTTCGCAGAGATCCAGAGGTGATAAAAGACCAATCCTGTAAGGTAGGAAAATGAAAACTTATGATGTTGACCTATTTTTCTCCAATACATTTATAAAGTGACCCCCCTCCCCCTACCACATTTGCTGCAAGAGACAAGACAGTTGGGTTTTCTTCATCACAATCCTACAATTCAAACAAAGAGTTACTGACAACTTGTTTATTGTTTATTAATTAAGCTGTACATTTATGTTATTTTGAGAGTGGGCTTCCTGTAAAGTAGCTTTTTAGTTAAGCGGATTTGGCACTATAAATAAAGCATTACCATTACCAATTACCTGATCTAACAAATGCACCACTCCCTACATCCCTGAAAAGGTAATAAAAAGTTCAGCCAGTCAATCAAATGCAAATATGTCATGAATCTTTCAAGCACAGTACAAACCATTTGTTTACTGTTTCCTTTCCCAGGGTGAAATCTTGCTTCTGTCTATTTGATTGTGATTCTAACTTTTCAATTGAAACCCTATTGCTTGGCCATTTGAATTAAGGCTATCAATTTGTAATTGCTTGAGGCACTGTTTGTTGAATTTAAGGTAATTCCATCAAAATAGATCTCACAATAGATTTTCTGTCAAATTTTGCATGTTGGCTGCTTATATCAAGAGAACTTAAAATTTGAAACAAAAAAGGGAGGTCCCCATGTTTGTTTAGGAGCAAGAGGACCTTCAATAAACCCCATAATTCCTGAAATTATCTGCTTTCAGAAAACTTTATATTTGAACCATTCACCTTACGCATTAAGAGAGCAGAAAAATAGAGAGAAAGTTAAGCGAGAAATACAACAATGGATGTATTGCGTAAATGTTAAGGAGCAATTTGATGTACGTTTCATGATAAGGGCACTCATTTAGTTGACAGGGATACAATATGTTCCAAGCACACAGTGTTCTGGGGCCACATATTATCTTTTACGAGTGCTAGCTATGCTCTCATTTTCTCATTTTACTCTGCAAAAGAAATTGGTCCATATTCACTGTATAGAAAGAAGGTGATCTCTGAATTCAAACTAAATAAAAAAATTGTCAGGTCCCAGTACTTGTTTCCGAGAGAAAAAAAAACGATGATTTGTCTCTCGCAAGGCAAGAGCCACCATTAATTTTTGTATATTATGTTGTGTATGTGCACGCGCTAATGACGCGAAAATTGTGCACAGTAGGGATGCGCAATGCCATTCTGAGGAATCACCTTAAATGAAGTTATTTCAGTGGAAAATTAAAGGACATATAATCTGAGGGCATAAATGCAAACAGAAGCTAATAATTTGTATATTCCAGGTTGAAGACAACTACATGAGGGCAATAGATGGTATAAAGAGCAGTCTTCAATCCTTGGATAATCTTGTTTCTAAACAGAAACCTTCCAGCCAAGTTGTACAAGAGCTGTTACACATAGGTGACAATATTCAAGACCTTTTGCAAAGGATTAACTCAAATGAAGAAAAGCTATAATTTAGTAATTATTGTAGTTTATTTTCAGACAATCAAAGAGAGTCAAATATGAAAGAAACTGACTGGTCAAAAGGTTTTAAAATCAATTTAAAATGTGCAGTTCAGAGTGGAGGAATGTCTTCTCTACTCCCCTTCCTTGCTCTTTTATCACGACTGCTGCAAATTTTTGTCATTTAAAACTTGGAAATAGTCTGGTAAGGGTCCTTTGGTGAGAAGTTTTGATAATGCAATTCATACGATAACAGCACTGACAGTGCTCAGTCTAACTCTCGAAGCTAGGGACTTTATCCTCCTCCCCAAAGGAATTTAACTTATCCCAGATATATTTGCTTGCTGATGTACGAGCTGTAGATTACTTCTGAGCAGAGAGAACTAAAAGATGAAAATCCATGTAACAAAGTATTCAAGCAATACTTACAAGATATGAAAGAAAAAATTTGAAAACCATCTGAGTTTTAATGGCTATAAAAATGAAAGATATATTTTCCTCAAGTGTAAATAGCTTGATAGCAATCTGGCTAAAATTCATTCTGGGAATGAAACTGAGAAAACATTCTGTGTTGGTATTGTCAGTGTTTTCCTACAATTTTCAGCATTTTATCACATATGTAATTTTTCCAGTTTAAAGCAGCTATGGTTGAATTTCCAGTAACGGACATCTCATATGAAAGCTCCCCTTCTTAACCTGAAGTAGTACTTTTTCTGGTCCCATGGGTGTCTTTTTGGGTGAGGTCTGATTGTAGTAGGTTGAAGATGACTTTTGGTAACTTTTTTAATTGAACAATGAACATACTAACCAGCTGAGTAAGCAGATACATCTACATGTAATCTGTTGAAGCTGATCATGCAGGGATTTCATTAAGGGCTGGGCAGCGGGCAAATTGACTGGCTGTGAGAACAATCTTGCGTGGCCGGTTTGACCCCCTAGCAGAAAGTTTTTCTTACAAAGAGGTCTCGTTTTAGTAGTTTTGCCCATCTGTGAAAACCAGTTGCCTTCCTGCTTAAAACATTAATGAAACCCCTGTCATGGTAACGCATGGGTTTTTTTCCCTGGTGTTAGTAACACAAAATTATGTTTTAACATTCTTGCCACTATTGATGATTTGGTTCAATTTTTAAATACAAAATTGTTCTGAACTATAGAGAGCCACCTTAATTAAAATGTGGGTTGAACAAATGTTTACAGTTGTTGAGTTTTGTCAAACCTATCAGGGCCGTAGCCAGAAAAAATGATGACTGAGGCAATGTCCATGGTTAAATTCCCTTCCTAGGTATTTAGGGTGTTTATGATTAAAAAAAAACAACAACAACAAATGACTGAGGCAAGTGCTAGCCATGGCCATGTGGCTAAGATGTAAAAGAGAACATAAGTTTGAGAGGATTCCTCAGTGCCTTACAAAAGCTACAAGCTTAAAGTTCATTATGATAAGATCTAAGTTATTATATATAAGTTATTTTTAATAATGCATTGTTTTTTCGGGGGGTGATATTGGATCATAGAAACAGAAGACTTTTTATACCCCAAAGGTTAGTTAAATTTATAGTTGTATATTTATTGAGTTGCACAACAGTGTAAAGTTGTCAGTTTCATTATTTATTGTTAAATTTCAGCAAGACTGGCAAAGTTTGTAGATATTTTCATTATTCTGTAAGGAGGATGTTTGTCATATAAAACGCCTTTGGGCAGCATTTTCATAATTTTCTTGTCTGTCACAATTTTATTCACACGTGGAAGTTTCTTGAGAATCCCTTGGCTTGAAATACTTTTTAATGACATGGGAGAGTGGTTACCCTATCTCTCAAATCCTCTTTTACTAACTAAAGTGTTTATTACATAATAAATACTTGTTCCTTCTGGCCAAGATTGGCCCTCTTGGTATTGCGCATGCTCAATATGTTTTGACAGGACTAATGGTGGGTAAGTCAAACTTATCCAACATGTTTGCGTGGAAAATGTCACTGAAAAGTTGGCTTGTCCTGCTGGGTCATCCTACCTTCAAAACGACTGACCCTCCACCCAGGCTTCCTAAGCTGACTTAGTGAAGGTTACTTCAATGCATGGTACGTTTTGTGGTTGGAGGAGGTTGCTTGGAGGCAGCGTGGCCGAGTGGTTAGGGCGCTGGCGTGCGTTTCTTAAAAGACCCGAAAACTTCTCGGGTCCGAAAACGGACCCGTAAAGCCCCCAAAAAATCTTTCGGGTGGGATCAATTTTTGTTTCTGTGGAACCGAGCTCGATTTATTCAAGTCGGGCTCGGATCAAAAACCGCACCCGAATCTGGTGTCCAACATCAAATCGGGCACAATCCACCAGTGTACTCGATTTATTACCGAGCTCGATCACTTTTACGAGGGCTCAGTCGAATTCAGACTCGGATAATACTCGGGCTCGAAACGTGGAATAATTCGGGGCCCGAAAAACGGTGTGACTTAAACTTCTTTCGGGCCCGATTATTTAGCAAGGAAGCGGAGTCGGGCTTAATTCGGGCCCTATTAACATAAACACAAGCCGCAGACAAATTCGAGCCCAAATAGTTAACGGGTCCGAATGTCTTAATTTTTATGATTTTTTTTTCGAGAGGAAGCGTGGTGGGGCATTGTAAAGACAACACTTAACTTCATTATTACAGCACACCTTTGTTTGCCAACAAATTTCAATTATTATTCACATTGTACGGCTAACAAAAGATTTATTAATTTACACACGCCATCTGGCCTATGCGGTCGTCAGCAAACACAGTCTGGCCAATGAATTCCAGAATGCATTGTAAAAAATTCAATTTCTTCCCAGCTAGGAAATTACATTTCAGAACTTTTACCCAGCAAGTTTCGTGTGAAGGAAAATTCCCAGCAAGGGTATGACTGTTTTAGTTAGGTTCCCAGCCAGCTGAATTAATTAAGACCGAGGAGCGGATAATTTGAGGAGCGGCTCCGCTGAGTACTCCTGTCTCAGCCGATCTATTTGTAGCTCTTTCCCAATACTTTAACAGCGAAGGTATCCAGTGTTATCAAATGAAATACTCTTAAAACGTCTCATAATACGAGAAAATTACTTTATTGAAATCATTGGGAGCCTTCACCAAACGGTTCCCGAAAAAAAAAAAACACAATACAATTTGCAAATTGTAATTTAACGCGGTTGTAAGAAGCCCTGGTTCGAGTCATATTGAGGAATTGTACATAGCTCACAAGACTTAGAATTTCAATGCCATCAATATTTTACAATTATCAAAGAAGTCTGAGTCATACAGTCCACACTAGGAACGAAGTCGTGTTAAAACAATCCCGTTAGCATTTGCTTTGCGACACTCAGTTTTCTGACGCGCTGAATGTTATCTGTACCACGCTTGCACAAATTGCCTATCTGACCAAATTCACTTTGGTTAAATACATCTGTAGTCTTCCGGAGTTGATAGATGAGCTGCAAAATGAAAATACACATGAGCGACGATGCAGTAAGGAAAAATATATTTTTGTTAAAACCTGTTAAAACATGTATGCCTACAGACATCTACACAAGTGAATATATGAAATATCGTACATTTGGACCGCGGAGAAAGCCTGAAAAAAATTCAAGCCTGAACAGGATTCGAACCCATGACCTCTGCGATAAGCCAACTGGGAGCTGGTAACATATTGTGACTTCGTAAAATACCCGCAGATGGTGAAGAATACAAGTATATATAAAATACTCATAAGAATACAAGTGGATATATGAAATATCATATCTCTGGACCTGAATTTTTTTCAGGCTTTAATTTTACAACTGCTAAAGTTGTGCCACGGTGTATAACTGCGATGGTCAATCATGTCTTCATATCTTTCTCCGCGGTCCAAACATATGATTTTTCATATATTCACTTGTAGTCTTCACCATCTACTGTTATATTACGAACTCACAAAGTGACCAGCTCTCAGTTGGCTTGATAGCTCAGTTGGCAGAGCACTGCACCGGTATCGCAGAGGTCATGTGTTCCAATCCTGTTCAGGCCTAAATTTTTTCAGGCTTTAATTTCACAACCACTTAAGTTGTGTGTATAACTGCGATGATCAATCCGGCATGTCTTCATGTATATCTACAGTCGAACCTCCTGGCTCCACTAACGACCACCTCTTAACAACGGCCACCGCCAGGTTTCTTCTGTCCCCAGGGTGCCGTTATGGAGAGGTTCCACTGTAGTTCCGAAGTAGTATAGAATTTCCAATTAATTAAAGCACTAAGCTATCAGTGAACAAGGCAGAACATTTTCAGATTTTAATTCAGGCACGTTTAGTTCAGCCCTTTTGGAGGAGAGGGTATATTTAACCTTGAACGGGAGCTTCATATAGAGGGTGATGGGGTTAGTATACTGAAGTGGGGTTGTTTTGGATCATAAATCACCTATAGGGTATATATAAAATAAGATGGTGGACTTGGGTAAGCTTGCAGCCACAGAATACGCCGGCATTGCCTTCTTTGTGTTCTTTCTGTTGCTGTATATTTTAGTAATCTAAGAGAGAATTAATTAACAGTTAGATTATGAGCTCGAGATTTCCATGAGGTGATAGTTGATGAGGCCTTCGGCCTCATCAACTATCACCTCATAGAAATCGAGACCGAATAATCTAATTGTTTTAGTAGAATTCTTACTAAAATTTACTTCAAATAACGGTTTCCAATTACTTGACATATAATTAAACTTTGCGCCTTAAAAAGATCGCTCGGATTGAATTGTCATTTAAAATTGAAGTTGTGTGCGCGCGTGCATCAGTTTTTCTCAATAATTTCAACTTTTTTAAAAGTCAAGAAACCGTAAATGTCCTTCGTTTAGACTTCTCAGGAATTGAATTATCCTTTTGCATCAAAATTTTCCTCCAAAACTTTGGAAAAACAACAACAACAAAAATAGTCGCCATTTCCTAGACGACCTCCAGCCACTGCACACTAACGGCTGATACTGTTCAATTGCTCAGCCAATCATATTTCAGCATTTGCATTAGTATACTAGTAGAATTCTACTAATTACGGATAGCATTGCTATTCTCCCATATTGACTTTCATACCCTTGATTCTTTACTGTTTACACTTGGCACATAGATGGAAAAAATTCTCTTTTCATAACACACACAAAGGGTGAACAGAGATCTCAGTGCAGTGTTTTCGTGTTGATAAATTGCCAAGACTTGTCATCTAGGGAAAGCGGGGAAAGGACAGCTGAAAGGAGTTCTTAAAGTTAGGGGGAAAGCTCAGTTTAGCGTATAGATCTTTTACAGAAGTTGGTAAGAAAGTTTTCCGAACTTCTTTGCTATAATTTTTTGATGTGTTTCTATTATGCTAGAGTCCGAGTCTTACCGCTAAGAACTCTTCAAAATCGATAGCGCCAGATCCATCCTTGTCAATTTCATTGAAGTATTGTTCCCGTACCGCGGGCTCAGATCTGTCGCCAAGGTCATCGAGTACTTGCATTCTTATGAAAGAAATATCAATACGAAACGGCATTATGAACCGTGACTTGAGTGAAATGACAGGACATACAAGTACCATGTGCTGCCATGTTTGGAAGAGCTTTTTCAAGAAACTGAAATCTGGAGAGACCATCTCAGGTGTTATGTAGTAAGAACGTTTACCCAAGATGAACCAAATCCTGCGCTGTGATTGGCTATATGGCTCGAGACTACCCGCTGTGTCCCGCAAGAGAAAACTGCCCCGTAAGCCATATAATAAATCCTTTATCGACCAAGGTTGTTCGGTCAAGATGGCTGAACTGATATTGGCCTCGTTCTTTTTTCGCGAGTTTATGGACCTCAACTCCGTCTCGGTCCATAAACACGCAAAGCAAGTACTTGACCAATATCCAGCCATCTTGACCTTACGCTTGGCCAATAATTCATATATATCATGGATGAATTTTGAGCATTATATCTTTATTTATTTAGTTGGTTTAGCTGGAGTGATTGCTACCAAAATATTAGCAAAACTTAGAACGTGAGGCTAACTCGATTTCTGGGTCCTTAATTTTTTGTCTTTTTGTTTCCTGTCTGTACCACTGACAGTAGTTGTCAGACAACCTTTCCCAATCACATTTAGTTTTGTAACTGTGTTTCATACGGAAACGGCTGTGTCTGCATAAGTTCCCCTGGTAGCCGATTTCTTTCTCAAATGACTAATTTACTCATCGCTAGATTTGCACATCGCAGAAGATGTTTTTTGATGCTTAGATCCGTTCTGTGAGGTTTTTTTAGACTGTCATCTATACAAAATGCTAGTGTCCCGTAATTGTCACCTATAAAATGTGGCCAACAACAATAGCGAGCTGCGAAGCGCATGCCGGAAAAAAAGGCGGCGATGTCTAAGACACGTTCCCCCAACCTTTTCTATTGTTGTTGTTGTTTTGTTTAAGAATGAAGATACTTACAATTCTTTGAAATCGATTATTCCATCTTGATTCAAATCAAACGTTTGGAATTGTAACCTCAAATCCACTATGTCTCCTTCCTTAAATTCTGGAAATTCGTTTATTAATGATCGGAAGTCTTTTTCACCCATTTCTGAAACGAAAAGAAGCGAAATGACATTTCATTTGTTATACCGCTTTCAGCTTGGATCATCGGCTTGAATTAATCGACAGAGCTCGACAGAGCACGACAGAGAATCAGTCATGCTTGTATGGAGTGCTGCTTTCTTCAAACGCTTCAAGTCTACCTCAAGCTCGCTCATAGTTTTCATTTCTCTTCGCTTGCGCCAGGAATATATTGACTTCAGTCATAGACAAATCTTGATTAAGTAAAGCGCAAACTTTCCATACCTTGAAATTTTCTTCTGTTGAGCGCTGATCTCCTTCTCTCTTCAAGTAATCTTTCCCAATAACGCTCTTGGATTTTTTGAAATTCTGTATTTCTTAATTCATTTTCGCCGTGTGTTTTTCTTGTTCCTGTAACAATTAATAAAAGCCTTTAGTGAATTACTATCTCAATTTTTCGAACTTTTCGATTTTTTTTTTATGAATGTCTGTTTCGAGTAATGCTTTGAAAAACCGAGTTTCCACGTTGATCGGTTTAGAATTTAAGGATTATCAGCAAGCCTAAAAAAGGGGAAAACTTTGCCACCGATTGTGAAGAAAAAAAAAATTAATTTTAAAAGCGAATGGAGTATACTCCAAAGACGATGCTTTTGTGTATGATTAGCTAAATTGGCAAATACAAAATAATTGAAAACAGCAAACGGAAAAAACGTTACCAAGAGGTGAATCATCATTTCGGGTAGTTGCGCTATTTTATGAGTATCGCAGGAATTCATACTGCAAGAGTTTTTTGGTAGAATAAAGGTCACCATCGGTACATAGGTCTTACCAGTTATATCAAAATAAGCATTTGGCTCGAAGATTATTGGACTTCTTGTGATGGGATAGCTCGGAGAACAACCCATGACGCATTTTAAGGCGTTAACCACAGTAAACTCACATAGTTATCGGTCAAATACATTGCGCCACGCCAGAAACGTCATACGAACGAATCAAACTTGTTAATTATACGTCATAATCACAATGAAAATTATGTCGACGGAAGTGACGTTCAGTTTTAAGTACCAATAAAAATACCAATTGATACCCAGTAAAGTTGTTTGCGTTTTGTTTACATCCAGGTTTTTTATCGCAAAAGTTTTTATTTACTTTAGGAAATGCCCCTGTGTTAATTAGTAGAAATTTTACAAACAACATCCACAGACAGTTAAAGCGCGCGCAGCCCAGTGTTAAAGAAAAGCTGTGGATAAAAACGCTGCACGACTCAGCGGCTGCACCCCAACCTTTTTCTCTTGGCACACAAGAAAACAAATTCTATTTCTTTCACCAAATGAACGATCGAAATAATTTTCACTGTTTCGATGGAGTGATAGGCGCGGCATTCTCCTCCCCAGAGCCTCCGTTTCTTTTAGTCATGTGATCGACTTTTAAAACGACCAGCACTGGGGACAAGAATGGAGGCCGCGCCGCGCGGTGCTCGGGATATCATTGTGTCGTGTTCTCGAACAAGGTGTTACAAGCGACTTCTAACTGGTAATAAGACGCGTAATATATCTTTCTCATTTTAAACCGAATAAAAAGACTGATGCATTTGCCCATATTCACTATCGTATTGTGAAATAGCAATTTTGAAAGGTTGCTTGTAAACAGTACAAGAAATTGGTTTTTTGGTCATAGGTGCATCCACATTAGTTTTTGGTGTCGTGTGTACTTTCAGCACACGCGACTTTTTAATAAACCTTACAGCTAGAGATATTCACAATTTTTTACCAATTTAATGGACTGTGTGAGGGGAGAATTTGCCAGTATTCATAATCATAAAAAAGCCAACAGTTAGCAGTCAAGTGAAAGTCCAATAACCATAGTAACCACCTGTCTATCTGTATTATCGTGTAACACCTTGTACTGAGAACTACCTGAGTTGTAAGTAGTTAATATTTACGAGCAGAATAACTGACTACCTATGACGAAATAGCCTAGAACAACGATGAGCTCACTGGCAGCCAATAGCAGTTTAGGATTACTAAACGAAATATTAGATTACTTGTTTAGAGTCTAGCATAAATACAGGTGTTTTGTAAATTGTTCTTCGGTTACGCTCCCGGTGGTGGGACGCCGGATACCACCATCCCGTATTGGTTACATTCGGGTTACGTTCTGATATGAGTACGGCAGTGGATTAAACTCTACAGTTGGACCCAAGTAACTGCGTATTCTCTGTCTTCCCGTTGGATTGTTTTGCTGTAACAGATCCCGAGTCCTCTAGGAGTCTGACAAAGTCCGTCGCTGCAAGCGTGTTTCCCTCTGGATTGTTGTAACAAGGATAACAACTTAAGCGGCCCAAAAACCTGTTACCACAACTGACTAGTAGCTAAAAAGGTCTAAATATCAACAAAACATAAAATAAAATTGTTTTCTTTCAAAATGCATGCCCCCATTATGCACGATACTCTACCCATACTATGCTCCAAAATATGCGGGCATAATGTGTTACGTCTTAGTCCTTAAAACTTTTACGTTGATTACTCGTCTTTCTCACCTCGAGAGAACTGCGGTCGTTTCGCCCGGAAGTGAGTTCGCCCGAATCCATTCGCTGGAACGGATGGTCGGTTGGCCTGGACTGTCAGCTCCGTAGTCAGTGGATTAAAAAACGAGAGCTGGCATATTTTTTGTATATTTGTTTCATTTTCCCCACAATGTTCCGAAATGTTGTCTTTTTCGCTCGTTTAGTTTAAAGAAAGAAAGCTTTTAAACATATCGTTCTTGAAACTTTCAGTCCGAGTGAACAGACTTACAGTCCTTGTAGTCCGGGTGAACTGACATCGGGCGAAACGAGCGGTTACCTCTCGAGATATATATAACTAGTCTTCTCGCTATGCTTCACATTTCAAGTGTTTGCATTAAAACGTCGTTGTACACAGTTTGAATTAAGCATTCTCTTTGTACGCATTTTTTGTCCGAGATTCGATTGTGCATGAAGCTGCCGTATCTGTCCAACAGTTTTCATTTCACCGCTTTGCGCTGAATTGATTTCTTTTTTCTGCACTCAGCTTCAATTTTCTGCACTGTTCTGACGTACCCTTAGCCAATACGAGAGCGCAGAAATTGTTGCTTGTAAATTATTAGGAAAAAAAATCTAGTCTTTTAACTGCGAGATGGCGGCTCTCTCGACAACATAGGCTAAGGGGAACTGAAGATGGCTCGATTTATACTACAGAATGATTATCCGTCCGGACAGATCATCTGGTCCTTATCTGAGTAAAATCCACTTCAAGTTATATTTCATGTGTGGTATCGGTCCTCAAGTTTGGACACACTGTTTGCCTTGTTGTTGTGACTGATCGATTAGTCCCAGCTCTCTCGTTCCTTGATAAATTCATCTATTTTAGAGAAATAATTCAGCTTCACCATCTCCTGCCTAGCCGTCTCCATATCCCCTGAAAAGAAAGAAAATGATTAAAGAGTGCATCTATTGATGGTACTTAATTCCTTGATTTGTTGTTTGAAACTTGCAGCTGTTCACATGCGCACATCACTTCATTGAAACATGTTGAGATTTTTATGTCGCATGGTGGACAAATTCCTTTATGTATGGGTTATTGACCAAGTGTGAGGTCAACATGGCTAGATATTTGCCAAGTTCTTTTCTGCGTGTTTATGGACCGAGACGGAGTCGAGTCGCAAAAAAAGAACGAGGCCAATATCCAGCCATCTTGACCGAACAAGCTTGGTCAATAAAGGATTTATTATATGGCTTTCGGGGAAATTTTTCTTGCGNTCGGGTAGCCAATCACAGCGCAGGATTTGATTCATCTTGCCCGCTCACGGAGCTAGCCATGTAATAATGAGTGTTCTTGGGATTTGACTAATCCAGTAATATTTCTAAATCTTCCTCAGAACATCGGGGAAACAAGTACGGACATGTTTACAGGCAGGGAGGGTACCCCTGCTAACCGGGCTACCTCGGCTAGAAGGGTTGACACACAGCCCGCCTTTACATGCAACTCACCTAACTGGGGCAGTGAGTGGGCTGCGTGTGCTATCTTTTGAGCGGCCACTAAGCACAACAAACAAAATGGCCGACCAAAGAAACTTTTTGGTGGCAAGTTTAATTTTTTATCGCTCATTTCGCTAGTGGCCTCTTTTCAGTGTATAGGACTGTTGTTAATGGTAACGATGAAAAAATTCACCTTGCGCTGCCACGTTTTTGCCGTTTATCTCACCTCGGCTAGCCCGGATAGCCCAGGACGAACCGTTTACATGGTAAAAAGCTGTCCCGCCTAGCCGGGTGTCCCGGGCAAGTAGACAGGGTCCCCCGGGTAGGTGGGCTACCCTGTCTAGCATGTAAACACTACAATGCGTTTTCTAAAGAAACGTATGAGAAGTTAGCCCCTACAGGGTAGCTCGGTTTCGCCGGGTAGCCCGGTTAGCCAGGACACCCTCCCCCCATGTAAACAGGCCCCAAATGTTCCCATTATGTAGACGACCAGCACTAGCCACTACATAATAAAAACTCGATGGGAACACAGAAAATGTTTCTGTTTCTTAAATAACGTATGTTTTATTTTGAAAGGTAGATGTTCTGCATGCACAAGGCTTTACAAACACACGGTTATCAAGTCACAATGCAAAAAAACAGCCGTTTATTCTTGCTCGGTTTCCCGCAGGAAGGAGTAAGTGATCAGAAGGGACTGATTCCATGTGACTGTTAAATCTTTTTAGGTTGAATTCATTGTAGTGGGAGGCAATTTTTGTGTCTGGATGAAAGCTACAGGATTTTTTCATCAGGAACCTTCATGATGCACTCTCAGGTCACACAAGTAACAATGTGACTGAAGCTGTCAATTAAGACATTAACTCACTCTCTGTCATGAGATTGTCAGGACAGAAAATGTGGAGAGGTGGAAAAAATAGAAGGTTTGAGCTCGCAGGACTATTAACAGTAGACAGTTCTAAAACAAAAACAAGGAAAAATAAATAATGCAACATCACTTTGCAGTGTTTCCTTCCTTCAAACTACGTCACACTTCTCTCCAATCACAAGCACACTTGTGTATGCTCACGCCATTTTTTTTTCGAGTGAAGATTTCCTATTGGAATCACTCTGGGTGCTTCTACAAAGTCTGATTGGCAATTCAAGTAAATTATCAAATTTCCCAATTAAAAGAGGGTCTGAGGGTCTACACTGACATGTTAATAAAAATCATTACTATTAGGTGGTTTGAGACCAAAGCAAAATAAAATGTTGTGGTTACCTGTAAGCATTAATCAAGACTCAATCAATACAAAACGTTAAATGGTATAATGCTAACACTTTTTCAAAGTTCTCAAATAGATTTATTCACCTTTCTCAAAAGCACTTGAAACATTTTTAAGGCACTCCTTCAGATCTCCTGAAAAGAAAATATAAAATTTATGGCTATATAGCAGCAGAACAAAGAGACAAAACAGGTGCAATGGACTGAATGAAGGGCAAACTAACAGACAACAGTTTTTCCTTCGGTGAACATAATGATCCATACATTGGTTTATACAGGAAAGAAGGATGTTTACTCTGACTAATGAATCCCTCATTAATGGACAATAGACCACTGCTCTCTATCACTCAACTTATTTAACACTTGCAGCCTCTCTGTACTGTAAATAACTTGCCCATGTAAATAATGAACATCAAAACTAATTATTAAGTGGCTTAAGAATAATTTCCAACCATTTTTGGATTACCGGTAAAATTCAAAACATGAAGTTAGTGGCCTTTTACATCAAAAGGTACATGAGAACATTAAAAGGTATTTGCATTAAAAGGTACATGAGAACAGTTACCAGTATTTTCAATATAGACTTCCTTTGCTTTCTCCTCATCTGATGAAATTTGTTCATATTTTTCCATTATTGCATTCAAGAATTTTACATCTGTCGATGTTGCCTCATCTTCTGTAACAGGTACACCATTTAAATTTAACTACAAGAAAACAAATTCAAATTAAGAAATAGCATTTTAAGACAATACCACTCTTTCAAGGGGGGGGGGGTAGGGGAAGGCAGGGGGGCATTAGGTTAAACATTTTTTTTACTCAACTTCTAACAACTGTCCTACCTTTCCCACCTCTTCAAATAACATGTGAATGATTAGGAATAAACATTCTCATTACAAAGGTGTGTTTTCAAATGTATCCAAAATTCAGGATTAAGCATGTGCTATTAAAGTACTAATAAAGTTACTTACAAGATACAGGCCTCTCTTGAGTGGCTTTAGAAGAGTATGGTAAGCTTCATTTACCAGCGATGACTGCTCCTCAGATAAGCTTTTCTCATTCTGTTAAGGTTAAAACATTGTCAATATTGACAGTAATAAACTACATACTACCGTGTGGCAAGAAATCTTTGTATCCTGAGTTTAATTTTTATGGATCAATAATTTCTTTGTATTTTTGGGAATTAATTTTTGCAATTGTAAATAAATAAATAAAATAATATAAAATAAATTACAATATTTAGAGAGGAAGCCATATCAGCCTCAGCTGGTTTTCATGCAGGTCCTCTCTCCTGATCCAATTGGAAATTAGAGATGTTGGTTTTTGTGGAGGGAGGAAAACTGGAGAAACTGGAGAAAAACCCCCAGGGTAAGGCAAGCACCAACAACAAACTCAACCCACGTATAGCACCAATCTGCAGTCGAACCCGGACCACACTGGGGGGGAAGTGAGCACTCTCACTACTTTGCCATCCCTGCTCCCTGAAAAATCACAACATTGACATCCATCATTGGAGTTTTGAGAACAGAGAGGAATGTTCAAGAGCAGACTTCTTAAAGAAAAGCTAAGGAAGATGACCTGTAATTTTGTAAGGGATAGGGGATCCAAACTAAAAACCTTTCTGTGGAAGGGGTATAGAGATTTTCTGTGACAGAGTTTTTGCAGGATTAATCAGCATCCCCATCACTACACCATTCTTGTCCCAAGGACAAAACCTTATTATCTCAGGTAATTTTCAAAACTTTAAAATTGTAACTTAGCTTTGAAATTCAGGACAAAATGAAGAATCTTACACATTCTTCATTCTTAATGTGGTTTCTTTTGTTTTATTGCCCTGGGATCTGAGAAGGCACCAAGTTTGTAATTTCAACATTTTGAAAACAACCTTCATGTAAATTAATCTTCATAACATAGAATACCTTTGACAGGTCACTAAATTTATCAGGATGTAGTTTCCACTGTAGTCTTTTATACTCCTCTGCCAGCTGTGTTGTGTTGATGTCAAATGTTTTGGGGCTACATCAAGAGAATAACATTATTGTCAACATATCATTACCTAGTACAAGGAGCATCAATGGAAATTCCAAGGAGATGGGACTTTAGAAAGTCAAAGTTTTCAAGGGCAAGTATGAAGTATCCAAAGTGGTTAGGGGTGTTCAGAGGTCTACAACCTCTCCCATCCCAACCCCTNCCCCCCCCCAAAAAAGAAAAGTTTCTAGAGGAGTGGTATGAGTATTTTCTGGAAAACATTTTTTTGAGCGTTTCAACAGGATTGGTGCAGATTTGAACCACTAAATGACTTCCTTGATGCTTGCAGTGGTGGTGGTCCCCCCCCCCCATCAGCAGCAGGGGGGTTGGCTGATGTGACACACAAGTCATCAAATAATCGCTTTCACCTGTTCAGCAGCTCAAAATACGTTGCTGTCTTTGATGGCCTTTGAATTATGTTACAAGAAGGACAGAAGAACTCCACTGCTGATTTGAGTATAGCGCTGCACTTCCAACATAGTCTGTCCTTCGACCGACGCTTGCTTTTCGCGCTGCTAGCATACTTGTTGTATTGTCCCGTAAGTAGCCATGCGTTTCTTGACCGAGAAATCGAATTATTCATGGTTCCCGTTGGAAAGAAAGCGGCGATCTTTGGAATAAATCTTCTGCCAAACATACTGTGTAGTGCTTATTATCACCTCGCACATATAAGCTCAAACTTCCAACAGTAACACCGCAACTGCGCTGTGCTGAAGGCAAATTACATCACCCTTTGTTGGGGACATCATATGTATTGGTACACAACGCACCTAATGAATCCAGTCTGGCCTGGCTCCAAAGGTCAACAAAGATGGCGACAACGATGTCACGAAAAATAATATCTTCTTTTACTTCTCCAAAAAGTTACATTTTCTGTGTTTTGCCTCGACTAACAAGTGAAAGGATCATAAGACCACGAAGGCATGTATCAAATCTCGCTAAACTTCCTGAAACGCACGAAATGCTTAGGAAAACATGTCGGGATTTCGCAGATAATGAACTCGTCCCTATTGCCGCGAGTCTGGATAAAGAGCACAAATACCCAGGGGAGCAGGTAAAGAACACGACATGCATGTTCTTGTCATTTATACGGCAATACTTGAGTAATCACGTCAACGTTGTGGTTAGTGATTTTTGATATGGGCCGAACCACAATAAATTACCCAGTCAGATAGGTAGTTAGGTAAAGTCTGTATACGAGCCGTGGCCCATCAGGCCGGAGCTTTAGTGACCTTGTCTCTGAAAAGGCAATAGTTTGGTACCACCCCCAACCCACCCCTTACAGCAACCTAACCCAACCTCTTCAGCCATCCACACTAGAGGCAAATGGGCAGGAAGTCTATAGGCAGCAGAAAATATGAATAGGAAACAGAACTCGCAAGGTGGCTAGGACAGGAGAAATAGGAAAGAGTTTCAAATCATTTATCACATGTGACATGTAAAGAGCTCAAAGAGTTGGTAGTCAGGGTGGTGTGGTAGGCAGGATGTCCAGAACCCTATCAGTCAGTTTTACCCCAAAGTAATCCCCAGTGGTGTTTCATTTAACTCTAAATCTACATGGAAATTGATGAGGCTCTGTCCAAAATTGCATTAAAAAGGTCAAACAAATTGGACAACTGGGCCTGTTGTCAATGGAAGTTCCAGAATCATTAGGAGGTTCAGGATTGGATTATCTGGCATATGCCATAGCAATGGAAGAAATCAGCCGGGGCTGTGCGTCAACAGGAGTCATAATGAGTGTAAATAATGTAAGTATGTAGCATTATATAAGAAACTCTTAATGGAAATGACATTTTCTTTAGACGAAAGTTTAGAGACCCTTTACAGATGCGAACTGTGCAAATTAGGTTCTGTCTAGATCTCTAAGAGTATAGTATGAGGCATACTATGTGATCTCAATGAAAGGTAAAGTCTGCATACAAGCCAAGTGGCTTATCAGGCCGGAGCTTATCCCGGTTTCAGTAGCATGAAGTGACCAGGAGTATTTCTACTCCCCCCTGGATGGGATGCTAGTCCATTGCAGGGTCACCCCCAGCATTAAATTCGTCAGTACCCATTTATACACTTGGGTGGAGAGGCACTGTGAGAGTAAAGTGCCTTGCCCAAGAACACAACACAATGTCCCCGGTCAGGGCTCAAACTTGGACTGCTCGCTCCGGGGTTGAGCGCACTAACCATGAGGCCACTGTGCATCCCACAGATGTCAATGAAAGTGTACCAAAAAAGAGAGAAGAAAGAAAACAATATTTAGTCATTGTTCTTTGGTGAACTTATAATCTGTAACATATGTGATGGGTGTCACTGGTAAGGAAACATGCTCTAGGTTCTTTTAACCAGAGCCTGTTAATAATATGCTATCTTGTCATGCCTGTACACTTAAGTCCAACAGTTGACGAAATCATGAAGAACCTTGATTTATTATACTGATCTATTTTCAGTCTCTTTACCTTGGTCCTATACTAAAGTATGGAACAGATGAGCAGAAGAGAAAGTGGGTGACACCTTTTTGCTCTGGTGAAAGAATTGGCTGCTTTGCTCTCAGTGAACCAGGTACCTTGAGAAATAATTTATTTTGTTTACCATGCATTTAGTGCTTGATCGTCAAGAGAAAAGCTTTATTTGTCCTCAACTGCAACTATCAACTTCTCAGGACAAAAGGTTTAATTAGCAGGAAAATTGTTCTGCACTTGTGTTGTTAACTTCTAAACATATCATAGCCATTCTCTGCAAACAAATGTATATTTTTCGTGTTTCTACCTTAGCATACATGTATTCAGTTGTGAGTAAATGTGATTCTAACATATATATTTGTTCATAATTCTGGGATCCTGATGTCTGTGTGCATTTAGAAGTGGATGCATATGGATGTAATCTTGAGTAGCTTGTGGCATAGCCGAGAGAATCACTAACTTCTCATTACTCAAGTGCTCTCCAAATTCCCACTTGCATCCATTAACTTCCCTAATGGGTGTTAAGAGAGCAATATGAGAAGCATAACCTTGAGTAGCTTGTGGCATAGCCAAGAGAATCACTAACTTCTCATTACTCAAGTGCTCTCCAAATTCTCACTTGCATCCATAACTTCCCTAATGCACAACTAAAAATACAAACCATTCTTCTATATCATGGCAGCAACAGGGATTGGGATTTTAACTGCCTAGGTTCTTTATGCTCAGAGGTTGAGTTATTTGCTGGCAACAACAAGCCATCAAGCTCATCTCATCTATCTTTAAAAGAGACTTATCTTTGATCCTAATGTAACTTAAATGTTTATGTTTACATTTAAGACAATGGTAGTGATGCTGGTGCTGCTAAGACCACTGCTAGGTTAGAAGGAGATCACTGGGTTTTAAATGGAACAAAATCTTGGATCACTAACGGCTATGAAGCTGATGCATCAGTAGTGTTTGCGACAACTGACAGGTCAAAGAAACACAAGGGAATNCAAGCTCATCTCATGTATCTTTAATGACTTATCTTTGATCCTAATGCAACTTTAATGTTTATGTTCACATTTAAGACAATGGTAGTGATGCTGGTGCTGCTAAGACCACTGCTAAGTTAGAAGGAGATCACTGGGTTTTAAATGGAACAAAATCTTGGATCACTAATGGCTATGAAGCTGATGCATCAGTAGTGTTTGCAACAACTGACAGGTCAAAGAAACACAAGGGAATTAGTGCATTTATTGTACCAAAACCCACTGAAGGGCTGACACTGGGAAAGAAAGAAGATAAGCTGGGAATAAGAGCTTCTTCTACATGCTCTCTTATTTTTGAAAACTGTTGCATTCCAAAAGAAAATCTTCTAGGAGAGCCAGGTTTTGGTTTCAAGATAGCAATGGTCAGTAAACTTTACACTTTTTACTTGTAACTTTTTTTGTGTGGGACATTTCATGTGGATAATGCCAAACTGTCAGTTGAGAGAGTGTGCTATATATTGACAAATTGTTTGACTCTCAAACAGAAAGGAATGCCAGTAATGTATATTTCAGTAAAATAAGACTGGAGGTGTCATATTTAAACCATTCCTCCTTTTGTAACTCTGCCAGTAATGATTATGTTACTTAGCCATAGATAGAAATACATGTTCTAGTGACAGCATTTGTTACAATTTCTATGTGCTTTTACCATGAGAGTGCAATGGTTAATATGTAGAGTCATGTGCTTAGCATGTTCTGACAGTTACTTTGTAATTTTGCACGAGTTTTACACATAATTATAGATAAACAAAATGTCCAAACTATTCTACCACATTCTTTGATTTTTATAATCAGGAACTTGACAGTCCCTTTCCAATGCCTTTTTGTACATTAACTACTTTCAGTACAGGATGGTGTTTGTTTTACTTCCTTTTTCAGGGCACACTTGATGGAGGACGTATTGGTATAGCAGGTCAAGCATTAGGCATAGCTCAGGTATTTTGGTTTCTTTTTTTTTTATTCAGATCTTGCATCCAGCATTGAAAAAGCTATAAACATGATGGATGAATGTTTTAGCTGAATGTCACTTGTTCTCTCCAGATAAGTGGCATGCAATGTTGTTACAACTTACCTTGACAAATGCCAAACAATCATAGAGATGTCTTTATTTTAGGCTGCCTTGGATTGTGCCATTGACTATGCACAAAATAGATCTGCCTTTGGTCAGCCAATTGCTAGCCTTCAAACAATTCAGGTATTACCCCTTTTCCAACTTGTGCATCATTGGTTTATTTGGTATGTTTGTTTGTTTTTGCATTTTATTGACTGTCCTTACACCATACACTATAGATGAAGCTGGCAGATATGGAAGTTAAGTTACAAAGTGCAAGGCTACTGACTTGGAAAGCCGCAATGCTGAAAGATGCAGGGGAGAACTTCATTAAGGTACTATGCATGAGTAAAGTTGATTTGAGTCATCGCATGTGGATGTTTACAATCAGGACTGAACCATTCCTTAGGTGATCTTTGTTTTTCTTCATTGCATTACAAGGAGTGTTAGGCCTAGACTTGCCACAAGTCGACCTTGGGAC